TTTAATATATCTAAAATCATCATTCATCACTCGGATGGTTTATTTGGACCCAGTTCCCAGTTGGCTAGTTAGCTCAATTAGTAGAGCGCTGCACCGGTATTGCAGAGGTCATGGGTTTAAATCCCGTACGGACTTTAATTTCTTTCGGGTCCTATTTTCAACTACTCGTTTCAGTAGTGTTCTCTGCCGCGAGGATCTCTTAATTTCATCTCTTACCTCATCGTAAATATATGAATTTCATATACCTAAAATCATCATACGTCTCAAAATGTTTCACCATCTGCTTCATGCAGTAAAAAGAACAGTCAGTTCACTTTTAATGCTAATGGTAGCACATAACACTATGTGTTTATTTTTTTCTGAGTTCTGTACAATTCAATTTCAAAACTCGATTGGCTTGTTCAATCTTTTCATTGAAAATATTTCCTTGTTATGAGTACATTCAGTATAAAGTTCGCTGGTCCCTTAGGGATAGCAAGTCAATGTCTGGTCAATGGTATGATCGACAGACACATTTAGTTTTTTTTTCAAAAAATGGCCTCCTAAAAGATCAGTTAGTGCAGAGTTTTTGGCTGGTTTATCGCCCTTAAAGTCGAGATTAAGTCTTTACTTGTCTAAAAAAAAAAAAGAAAAAAAAAACCCAAACACCTAAAATGAGAGGACAACGAATTCATGTGGACAGTTAAACAAAATATTGAAACGCCTGTGTGTAGGACGAACTTTCTTACCCTTACGTATAGACGAAAGTAAATACTCATTCAGACGTTACTCTCGGTAGGTCGGGCCCTGAGAGCAGTTATACTCTTAGGTATCTCTAGAATAAGCGCTTCATCAAAGAATGATGCAGATTCAAGCAAATTCATTTTCCGGGATATCAACGTTTTTAAAGATGCAACTGACCATAGTTCTCTTCTCTCAGGTAATTTCAGACACGGATTACAAAGGGAGTAAACTTAATGGCTCTTAAGCATAAAGCACGCCCTGAGACCCTGAAAAATACTTCCCCAAAATCAAAGGTCCAACCGAAAGAAAAGCCAATGGAGACGGCTGGGTTTGATCGATCGGTGTCCAAATTACACCTTTACATGTTTGTCAGATCAACCATAAAATGATCGAGTAATTACGGACTCTAGCACATGATACTTTTACACCAATAAAATGATACGTTAACCAATCAGTCACAGTGATTGAATTTTGTCTTATACCCAAACTATGGCCGGATAGTTTGGGTGTAAGACAAAATTCAGTCACTGTGACTGATTGGTTAACGTAAAGGTTGCCATGGTAAGCCCAGCAGAGCTTCTCCTATTGTCGAGGATTTCCAAGCCTACACTGATTTCTTATTTTGATTTTTGCCGATGAAGCTTTTTTAAATATTCGGAAACGGCAAAGTTATCATTAATCTCTTCATAATTTTGATGGATAAAAAAAAGAAAAAAAAAACAGAAACAAAAAAATTTTGGCAAAGTGAAAATTAGAAAAAAAAAAGGTTTATGTGAAACAGATATGTAAAGAGGCTGGTATGGGATGAAGAAGATTGAAATGAACCGCAATATTTGGTATTCTGCTATTACTCGGGCTTTCTAAGAAAAAACGCCCGAGTTGAAACTCTGGCTTGGTTTTTTTTTTTTTTTTTTTTTTTTTTCAGAAATATGACGAAACAAGATAAGATGGTGCTAATTCGTTAAACTAATAAACCTAACGGAGCCACTGAATATCACATTTGTTACCTCGATGAACGTGCTGGATTTCTGCGCGTATTATATGAAATATAATGACTATTGATTGATGTGTACCATCTGATACGATATTGCGACAACCTACTGAGTTTTATACCTTTCAGTATACAGTATTGTTGACCCAAAAAAATAGAAGGTTTATTATTCACATTGAATATCACATTGTGGCCTCAGGGAACGTGGCAGATTTCCGAGCAGATTATTCGAAATATTATGATTATTAATGATATATACCTTCTGATGGGATACTGCTACAGAGGTATACCATGCAATATCGCTGAGTCAAGAAATATTAGGCATGCTATCACAATATTCTGATTCCGTCCTTATCAAGCAGTTTTCAATGCAGATAACACCACCACGAATTCCTCGCGAATTGCAGTGATACCTAGCACAATGAACATACAGTGCTCCGTAGAGTGGTCCTGTATTGAGCAGTTATGGTCACCCCTTGATTTATTATCTTTCTCTTACATCGAAACGTTATTTAAAGCGAAACCACTCAATTAAACAAAGACTTACTTTCCAAGTAAATTTTAATCCATTTTTATCTTTAGAAACAATGTTAGTAAGGAAGTAATGTTACGCCAATGAAGACTTTGATCAAAAAATTAATTTCTGCCTTTAATTAGAATTTCGAAAATGGCTGCATTTTGTTACCGTCTCATACGGCGCCACACCTCAACTTCAGCATAACGTGTAAAAGAAGCTTTGAGTTTCAAATGGAAATTAAAATAATTTGCCGTAGCGGTTTCGGTTTGCAGACGAAGCAAATTGTGGTGATTTCATGTTGTTGTTTTGCATAGGACGGCTAAGAAATGTACAAAGTTTTTAAAAGCACGTGCTGAGCTATTGCTCTGCCGATTAGATCTTTTGTTTTTCCATGTCCTCGTTGCTGTCGCCGTCGTGGTTTGCTTAAGGTCCCTATTTTACCGAGGACGGCTAAGCAATACACACGGTCTTCAAACGTAGGCACTGAGTTATTGTTCTGCTCATTAAATCTTTTGTTTACCTCGTCCTCATTGCCGTCGCCGTCGTGGTTTACGAAAGGTCCCTATTTACAGTTGTAGCGAGCTGCTGTAGCGAGGTAAAAAATTGATTTATTATAAACTAAAATAGTGAAATGATATACGCGCTTAAGTATGATTTTGACTCATTTAATCTTAAAACAACTATTACATTTTCGGGCGAAAATCCTGCGCGCATTGCTCGGAGGTAAACAGCAAAGCATATTCGGAATTTGTGTAGCCAATCAGACCGCGTCTTAGACGTAATCCGCTGTTTCAGTATATACTATTTATCGTTAAAAAGTTGAGCTCCAGCTTCCCACTGTTACCCTTTGGTTTCAAAAGCTGGCTTTTGTTTTCAACACATAACGTTTCTTTAATTTTGACGGCGATAATCGGTTTTGCCCAACGTCAAAATGTCAGCGTACCATATCCGGTTGTTTCGACATGTTAATTGATAGCTGATGATTGGTCAAATGCAATCATCATACTTTGGGATAGTGGAAAAAATCACATGAATTGCTTTCAAAAGTATTGCCGATTTGAGGCTGTTTTCACTTCCGTTAAAAACACACGCACGTACAAAACAAAAACAAATCATCTGTTTCCATCAATGTGAACTTTTAATGGCCAAAGACAGAGTTTCTGGCTCCGGTTGTTCGAAGGGTGATTAACGCTATCCACTGGATAAATCTGTATCCGGTGGATAACACAGTACGTTTTGTTAACACTTAAGCGCTTAATAACGATTTATCCGTTGGATAGCATTATCTGCCCTTTGAACAAAGGGGTCCTGGTATTTTATCAAAGATTATCATTAACATAAAAGGTTGGTGAAGGGTCCAGTAATCCCTTCATGGCGTACATTGTATCCAAAATAGCTTTCTGCCGTCCGGAAACTTTCTTGTCCATTCGATTTTCTACAGGAATTTCCGGAAATTTTTTCTATCGAATGGAAGCATTTTGCAATTGATGACACTAAGGGAGATATGTTTTTCGAAGGTAAAGGTGTCTCCGTTTCGTTATCAAATGGCTATGGAAAATCTTTAATATATCAAGCAGCGCCAGTGATCGATCGCCTCGCTTCACTGGAATAAACTGGTCGCTATATTTATTGTGCCGCCCGTTAACGCTCTCTTAGAAGACCAGGACTTGGGCCAAGAGGATTGTCTGCCTTCAACTTTCGGTCTCTTTGCGAACGGTGCGCATGCTGCGAAGCAGTTAAATTAAAGTTAGTTGTTTCTGGCAGCGATTCTTTCACAAATGCAAGAAGAAACCGCGTGTACGTTGAAATCTAGCTTCGGAATCGAACATCGTCCTCTTCTTACTCAAAAATCGCTCATAATCTTTTCCTATATAAGTAAAGCAAAGTAAAAATTTGCACTCGGACGCTGATTTGCAAATTTACTCGAAAAAAATTGGAAAATGAATCCACTTCAATGTTGTTGTTTATCTCGATAACTTTCCACGTTAACACGTGAAAGGGCAGCGCTTGTCAGATAGATAGAAAGATTGATAGACAACTTTATTTCTACACGGTAAAATTCTTCAACACAATCTAGGAGTATAAAATATAAAAATTCTGCTTACTTACTAATGATTAATACAGCATTAAAAGTTTAAAACCCATTATATCATGAAAGCTGTTTTTCTAAGATACTATGTCTCATTTAAAAGCTATAATGACGTAGTTTTTAATTCGCTTAAAGAAACTGTTGAGCAGAGTTCTTGCGAAAGTCTGTTCCACAGCATGGCACCCCTAAAGGAAAAACTCCTCTTCAAATAGCTGGAATAGCCAACTTGTACGCAGGATTCTTTAGTCAATACGAAGTAATAACATTTCGAGATATAAATCGAGGTTGTAGATATTCAAGGGACATGTTGCATGTTAGTCGCCAAAATATTTTGATTTTGACAAAACTTTAACACAATCTGTGGCAGGAAACGAGTCGAAAGATTTGGGGTAGAACTGGTAAATACGCAGGCGAACTTGTTTTACGTTTTCTGACGAACCCGTGAAGAAGGTAGGGGGGCATGTTTGCAATGGGGCGTATTTACCAAAAGCCAATGTTGGAATTTTTACTACAAAGAAACCAAAAACATTGTTTGTTTCTGACAATATACCAATTCATAACCTAAATTAAACTTTGACGCGCGATTTCGTCGCCTTAGCTGCTAAGAGGTGGATATTATCAGAGCACACTAAAAAATCACTATCTACTTATGAGCTGTGTACTTATCTCTAAGAAAGTTTTTAAAAGTCCACCGGTCTAATTTTCATTTCAGTTGATGAAGGAGCGTTGCCTTCGGCACTGGTTCGATTTAACTTTGCCCAGTGAATCTTTGGAGAAGTTTTCCTTCCACAACGCGGATAAATACCATTGAGATTTGACAAAACAGCACATTTAATACCGCTGCCATACCACCAGCCTCTGCCACCTCTTTGAGCACAATCAACAGGATCTCTATCCCAGGTACCAAAAACGAGATTCCTGTGGGGACCGAGGGAATCAGAGGAAACGGTGGCATCTGTTTCAAAACAGAACAAAAGAAATTCGCATAATTCTAGGATCCGTATAACGCCTTTTTCCCGCGAATAACTTGTTGTTTTCCGCAAAAAAGGAAATAAAGGAAAAACTGAAGGTTAGTAAGAAGTGAGTTCCTTACGTGGCACAAAGACCTAACTCCAGATCGAATAAGAACCAATCAGACATTCAGGTTTACCTCAGGACTACCTTGCCAACTTATAATACCATTATTCGACCAAGTAGAGTAAAATATTGAGATTTAAATGAGAGTGAATTAATATATATAAATCGAATGATAAATGCCGAAAAAAAAACACCGTTAACTTACTTGTAATATTGCCAATGTATAGCCGATACTTAGCTGTCTCGTTCCCAATCCCAAACCAGTCATACTCAGGGTGAACAGTTTTGCCATTAGTTACCCCCAGATCTACCCGAAGCTTGTTCTTTGTCTTGTTTCGAGTCAGGCGGTTTATCTTGTCCAGTCCGAGCCAAAACTCACCGACCAAGTTACCGAAGCCATGTTTGTATTCGTTCCAGGTGCGGTTAAAATCAACGGAGCCATCCATTCTCTTCTGGATCACCGTCCATCCCCCGTTGGCTGTAGTTTGGTCACAATATACATTAAAGGCGCCTAAACCATCTGGGTCGATAGTGTAAACACCACTGATCCTTCGTCCGGATTTGTACAGCTCAGCACAGTTCCTAGCTGTTGTAGATAAAATAAAGATGCTTGACGTTTTGGGCATGCTCTCAAAGAGGGGGTTTGGTATGAATGTGCTTATATCATCTGACAAAGTATCTGTCTTGGAGAGAAGACTACGGACTTGGATTCTTCATATATCTTTTATCTTTTAAAAGCGCATCAAATCATAAGATAAGAATAAAAAAATTATTTTGAAAAAACTCGACAAATGACCAAAGATTCGAAAAAAGTTTAGAATATTTAATTTATTCTGTTGTCAATGTTCAGCTAAACAGCAGCTTGAACAAAGAGTTGCTAAAGATAAGAGCTCCAAGCATGCTGAAAATTTTGTCATCTCGATTCGTAAAAAATTATTCCTCTGAAAATAAATGGAAATCGCCCTGCATAAGACTACCTTTTTCGTGATACACTGTATAATGATAAAGATAAAATGGAATAACAAGTACAATTAAAAAAAAGTACACATACATCGCACCAATGCTCTGTTCTCTGTGAGAATTTTAACCTCAAATCGAAGTTGGGTCAGTTCCTTCATGATTTCTTCGAAGCAGACAGCAGTGTTCTTCTGGCAATCAATTGGGGCTGCACTTGTTGATGGTACAAACTGAAAATTTACAAAAAGTACCAAGAGCAGCAGAGCTGAGCCTAAAGAGAAGAGGTCATAGTGCGGTGTGAAGTCATTCCAGCTTTGATATTTTATGATCAGTGCCACGCACGTTACAGAATGAATTGAACAACCGACGGAACTTAACAATCAATAGGTGCTTTTGATTGGGAAATTGCACAAAGTAAAAGGCCAAAAGTTGTGAGTTTATAACACTATAACTTGTTTTTCTTGCAAACACTCCAGATGTTCCTTTAAAGAACCGTATTTTTGGAGGCCTTCTGCTCCGCCAGTTTTCGATTCCGTCTTTTTGATGAAGTAAACAAAAGCTACTTTTTTGGCCACAGACTTGTCCATAACATTTTCAAGAATAATCAAAGAGAAAGTTACATGTCATTATTTTTTTTAAAATAGACAGAAAGTTCCAGATAAGAGCATTTAGAAATATCACACCACAAATACACCACCCACCTCAGCCGCGCTCTGATCACGTGCAAAACCTAAACATTGATCATATTCAATAAATGTATCCCGATCGGGATTTAAATTTTTGCAGGGTCATATGTTTACTATCAGCCAATGACAATCGTGTGTAGAGCAAGGCAAACTTCGAGACTATAACAATTACCAGTTATTCAATTAACGCATGGTGCCTATTGACCATCTCGCATCCATCAAGCGCGAATAACTACTTCATTAAATTCTCCGCTTCTCAGTATTGCTTTGTGAGCTCATTAAATTTGTTGTACTCAAATTTTGCGCATGGTGCCTATCTACCATCTCACATCCATCAAGCGCGAATAACTACTTCATTAAATTTCCGCTTCCTGGTATTGCTTTGTGAGCTCGTTAAATTTGTTGTACTCAAATTTTTCAAATGCAAACGACCAGAAGTCAATTCTACCTCCGATCTCCAAATACGTACAAAATGCAGTTATTTAGAATCTAAGAAACGTTCGAAGCCGCGAGGAATAATACCTCTCAAACTCAGTAATAATGTATGTGGTAATTAAACAATTGTGTGGCCTCAGTTGGGTCACATGCATGGATTGCCCCTTCATACCCGGTAAAGAACAGATCCCATCACGTGTGTTTCAAAGATCAATGCGGGGAAACTTTAATGATTCGGAACACTTGCTTGGCCTAACTGAAGGGCAGAAATCCTTCGCCAATTTCCTTTAACCGGGGATCGGCATCAACTAGATTTTGTAAATTGATGAAAAACGGAATTTCTCCTGTTTCCCTGCGCCCAGGGAAAATACCATTCATACGTCCCACATACATAAAAATTTCAAGATGTATGACCGCATTTATCAACGTGGCAGTTTTACGTTTCTGTTTTATCTTTTGAGCCAGATCAAAATTCAAGTTTGTTGAGAAAAACTGTCGCCACAACTTTGAGCCAGCTAGCTGGAAAGGACTTAAATCTTAGGCCGGACGAAATTCGACGAATCAACCAAATATTCACATGATATTTGTTACATTGGGAAGTCATGTTCAAAAACTGACTATAGTTTTCCATCAAGTCTTTGACTAGACATTGAATAGCCATTTTAAAGGTAAAGCAAATTTAAAACTGAAATTGCTGACTCCAAGAGGATCTTTTCGATAAAACGAATGAACGATCGAGATGGAAAATAGAATTGTGTTGAGCTCGGAAAACCAAAATTGTGGGACCATATAGGCCACCACGAGCGCGAAAGTTCAACTGTTCGACTGTGTCAGACAATCTGACTATTCTCTATTCAAAGCCACCATTGAAAGACATTCCAAAACGTTTGGAGTTCGACCTCTGTTTCTTTCGTTAATAATACAGAGTAGACTTCTCGAAAGTTCTTCCTATTTGCAAGATTAGTCGCATACAAACTCAGTGGGTTAGGAATTATGTTTAAATGAAATAGATGTGCAAACAATCTCATATTTTAAAAAGTAAGCATTGCATCTACGCACTGATAAGTGTTCGACGAAAGTCTCCTTAAGATGCGAATTCTTCATCAAAGAGCCAGATTTCACATACCTGTTCCTTGTTTAATACCTTTCATTGTAATTATTTTGGCGTTGCATGCAGTAGCACTCAGAAACGCTGCCAAAATATTGACGATGGCGAGGTTTTGCTAAAACTGATTGGATTCAAATTTCTACTGAGTTATAAGAAGCTTGATAGAGTTGCGTGCGCACCTGTTATATGCATCAATGCCTCTCCAAGTCGTGGAAATCAAGAACCTCAGTTATCGTCAGAGACAACCCTAATTACATTAATTTGTTTTCGAGAATGATTTTCAAGAGTGACCCGTTAGTTGTGGGAGTCAAGAACCTCAGTTATCGGCGGAGAAAACACTAATTACATTAATTTTTTTGGAGAGTAAACGAGTGACCCGTAAAATTAATTGCGGTTTCGGCGAATCCTTGAAGGTCATGTTTAGAAAGTTTCCAAACGCAGTTAAAATTACAAAAATTACATACCTCAGGATTTTACCGTAAAATTTTCCACTCTTAAACGTAAGCAAGGGAAACTTATGTGTTTTTGGAAGGATTTTATACTTAACTGGATAGCAACAATTTTTTAAGGGCCGACCTTTGTTTGAGGACGTGCGAGTTCGTGAGAATTAAACGTTAGCGGGGGTAACTGACGTTTTGTTTGAACAGACACAGTTCAAGTTATTTCACATGCTGAACTATTTTTACCTAGTTTGGCGATGTTTCTGACTCAATAACATTTTTTTGGTTAGAGAACTCAAGTGGATTATCAACCCCAAGCGTGACGAGAGAACAAGCGACTCCTCCTTTTTCGTTCACCTAATATCTGTCACAAACATTTTTGTTTAGTTCAATATTTTTTTACTTCCCTGGAAACTAATTTGGATCGAAGGGAAAATGGTCAAATAATTTCGGTACACTTTTTTACACGTTTGGCTACAATACAAACGATATTTTTAATATTTCTATTTTAGATTGAAGAAAACCTATTTATGTGTACAATACTGGGACACGCCATGATTGGTCAGCTGATACGTTGACCGTCGTTTCATATCTGCAATGGACTTGAGTAAAATACCAGAAAATTTTGTTTTGACCATTGAAAGTTTAGAGGTCACATGGACTGAAACAGAAGACTTTTTGTCCTTTTTGTCTGTAAACAACGGAAGAGAGAAACAGCCAGTAATCATAACGTAATAGACACCGACATTTCGGCGTCGGGCAAAACCGATTATTATTATGAAATTAAATAATTATCAATTCAAACTAAAGCCAACTTTTGAAGCAAAATTAATTGGGAAAATGCTTCTAGAAAGATGTCCACAATAAAATTTTGGCCATTGAAACGCATTGAAAGTTACTATTAGGCAACTTTTACATGTTTATCATTACTAATACTTATGAACTGTTGATCCTCTTTGATATTCTGTGCACGTTCCATTCGACCGAAGATTCCCGTTTGGAATTTCTTAAACATTTCGTGTGTCCAATGGAACAGTATTTTGTAACAGGCAGAAAACAGGCCGAAAACATCTCGTTCCTGTGATTATGTTGCATTTACTTTCTATGATAAACGAACCTAGCTATCCTTTCGCTTTTGATGCTACTATGATAGTACTATGATACTACCACAGCACCTATGAAACGTCAGGTTAGCATTCATTGGTCCAAATTTCCGCGAAAATGGACGACCTCGAGAGCTTGTCAAGAATTTTTAAAGCGAGATTCCAGAAACTTTTGTTCTATTCGATATTTAGGTGGAATTTCCGGAAATTTTTATTTAATATAACTATTTTGCATCTTGTGACACCTAGGAAAACAAACCCGAATTTCATTACACCTTGCCTTTGAATTAACGCCAAAAAACCGTAACTTTTTTCAACATTTTTACTTCAGACTATAAGATTGTAATTGCTCATGCTAAAAAACACATTATCAGACACGTATTAAGAAGGAAAGAAAATGCAAAGGAATCGAAAGCAACGTAACATATGGGGAAAAATTACAAGACAAAGATGGTTACAAAATTGCGCCTTTTCCTGATAGGGAACAAGAGAGGTTTGACATCCACAAGTGTCGAACTGGAAGAACTCAGTGCACAAACTCACAACGTGACTTAGCTTTTTTGACCTTATGAGAGTTAGTAAAACAATTCTTCTTACGAAATTTTTGATCTAGCGTTAGCCATTCGCTAAGCCTTTTGAAGAAATGCTCGTGAAAACACGGCCAGCGCTTGTCGTCCACATGCAAGAGTTTGTAGTCCATAATTGCATGATAACAAATAAGATTTGTAAGTGTCATGCGTATTTCAGTAAAATACTGTATCAGAAGAAATATTTTGCCATACGATATAGAAAATTATTGGTGCAACTGACGAAATAATATTCATCACTTTTGGGGCCCGGACCAATTATATGATGACTACTCTATGATTTTTTCTCGAAGCCAGGTATTGGGAGCACTCCCGACATCTCGCTTCCTCTTTTAGCTAGTAATAGGATTTAACTAGTATCTGGAAGGCACAAGTTCGAGTCGAACTTCTTTTGCGCAGTTGCTTTAAGTGCCACTCACCTGTGAGGATAATCTTTTTATTTGTATTTCATCTGCATGTCAGCACATATTTCACAATTATCACATAAAGATATATACAGTTGTTACGGCATTTCCTGTTCAACAGGAAATGCCGAAACAAGGTCAAATTAAGATGATTGTGCCAGACTAGCTGATTTCCTAACACTAGGCAAACCGACCTCACATCAGATTCCGGTAATATAACTAGTAATAACCACAGGTTAGGAAGTGCGTGCGAGGGCTATGCATGATTTGTTTCACTGAGGTTAACGATTTCATTGTAAAACAGTGGCGTTGTGTTCTTTTTCCATTTTGGGCATTTATATTTGCAGCGCAATAAAGGGTTGCATAGTGTGGGTGATTGTTTTCCCATAAACGAGACAAAGGGACCTAAGAGTGGTTTTACTTACCTTGTGAAACAGTAACACCAGTTTGATTATACACCAGTTCTATTTTGTGTTAAATAAAAACACTGTTGATTATAAAATGGACATATTGATTGAGTCAAGGAAGATTTCGATACCCGACAACAACAGAAACGAACAGGAAACGTTCCGATCACA